AATTACTTTGGATCAATCGGGTGATTGAATTAGGGTACTGACCACGTTGATTGAATTACTTTTAGGTGATATTTAAAATAGTCAAAAAACTTGACATAACTTGGTTGGTCCCAGGTAACTAAGTTATGTATCAATTTGACCAGACCAAATCGATTATTGAACCTAAATATAAATTTTAACATTGAAAATACCTTATTATGTAGTCCAAACTTCAAGTAATCATATTAACAATACTTTTACGACAACATGATTAATGATTTATGAATATTTATATATCATTTTATTATTATTTATGTGAACAAAATAATTATTTTATTATTATTTTTATTACTGTACGGTAAATACAAGGTTTTCAGAACCGGACCGTCATCAAAACGATCAAGTTATTTTATTAAATCATTTGTGGTTGTTCAGATTTTAATACATAATACTTTTATATATATATATATATATATAGTACTTTTTGTAATAAATTTAAATAAAAAGTGTTACTTAAATATCTAAACAATTTATAAATTCAAATGTTTAAACTAATTGATAAACAATTTATAAATCTCTATTTTATTTAAATTTGTAATTTTATTTAAAATAATTTTTAATGTAACAAAATTTGTTTAGAAAATTGTATCGATCCTACCAGTCCAACATATTGATGTTGACGGATTCGATAGCAAATATTTTATTAAAGTGAAATAGACTGCTTATAAATCGGTTCTCGGTCTATCTGGTCGGACTGTGTCCAACCTGATTTAATTTAAAAATAATTGATAAATTATGATTAATATTATTTATTTATTTAATTTATAATACAATCAAAATATTATTTTCTCGTGCATATCGCACGGGCCACACACTAGTTGTGGGGAATACGGATTCACAATAATGAACATATTTACTTTTTCTAATGATGAGAGGCCTACCAGTCAAAATTCCTTAAATCATACTATTATTAGTTGTTAATTATTCCATTCGTAATTCTCACTAAACCTTTTTATCTTTAATTTAAAAAATTAAGACCAGTACATCCACTTGCACAAAATAGTACTATAATTTAAGGTTTACCTCGATATTTTGTTCAAGGATTGTTGGAGTATATAATTTATTTATCCCATTTGCTTATTGACTAGTTTTTCCTTTTCCCACTATTATTGAATTATGGGATTAGTTGAAGCCATTTGGTCTTTGTCATATGCTGATGATAGGTGAATTCATAGTTAATGTTTGTTCTTGAAAAATATACATGTTAATGGAAAAACTAAATTTGAATTAATCGATTCTCATGAAATTTCTATTAGGTTATTGGATGGGGCTTTGTTTGAATTACTCGGTATATATTTGATCTTTGTATGGTCCAAATAAATTTCAATTAGAGTTGTTGTTTGAATCGAACGGTTTGTGGACACAACTTTATATGATTCGAGAAAGCTCGCGAGCTCGATTTGTTGGTTTATTTAAACGAGTCAAACTCAAATAATTAATCGAATTCCTTTATTAATGTATCGGTCGAGTTCGTTCACAAACAATTTGTTTTTATTTCTAATTTTTATGATGTTCGAACGAACAGTCAAGTCAAGTTGCTCACAAATGTACAAATTAATCGTTTTCGCGAAGTATCCATATACGATTTCGATTTGTTAAACGAACTTTCACGAGATTAAACAAATCGAGCATGAGATGCTCGACTCGAATAACACCTTAAGTTCAATAACTTCCATGAAATTTTAGTTAAACGATATCTATTTAATTCAAATGTAAGAATTATCATGGAATTCTAATATAAACATATGAAATTTGTTCAATATTCTATCAAACTTAACCATAAAGATAAAACACCTGATGAATTATGTAAAAATCTAGTTAATTTGATAAAATTAATCGACTTTCCGTCGGTTAGCGCAATAATTAGAAAGCAAGAGAACAGTTAATTAATCTAATCTCTTACTAGGGCCTTTTGATTAATTATTCAGAGCAACTTTGCATCTTTCACTCTTTAAGCAACCCTAAACTTGTCCCCTTTTTAAGGATATATATATATATATATATATATATATATATATATATGTAAAAGAGAGGCTTTCCAGCGAGTCCACAGAAATATCTTTAAGACCTAATTTTTCTCCATTATATTTTTTTCTATATATATTTTTTCCTATAAAGAATCATAATTATCTAAATAATAATGACATCATTTGAATTGATCGATAAAAAGGAGTCAAATTGAATGGAAAACGACTCACGAATAATGACATATTTTATTTTTCTCTCACTTAAAAAACAATCAATTGTACTTTTGCCAAATACTTTTTTTAACAATCGTTCATACAATTCTTTGGCTGTTAATATATATTTAGTTAAAATATTCGATTGTTGATTGTCAAACAAGACAAATAAATCCTTTGAATAACTTTTTAGTGGAAATCAAATTTACCAGAGAAAAAAATGTGATGAAATAATAAATTGATTTCAAGTGTTGTGACAAATTTAGATTGGACCAATAAATAGGATTTTCATGTAATTGTTCTATGTTGATAAATATTGAGCCTCATTTGTTATTAAAATTCTTTTATACTCTTAAAATGAAGAGAAGTTCGATTTGATCTAATACCCATACCTTTAGCATTTGAGTCCATGTGACCACAAACATGGGACTCAAATGGAATTATAAAATAATTGCAAGGGGTTTTATCGAATTTGCATAACATATGGGCAGTAGACTCAGTGCAACAGAGGTACAACATAATTAATATAAAACACGTAATTTAAACTATAGAAATAAATATAGATATTATTATAAAATGCTAGAATCATATTCTATCATTATGCTTCGTACCAATTTTGTCATGAAATGGGACAAAACTATGTCAAATGTGCATGCAGCACAGTAAATAGACTATTGAGAATCTTTATTCTTTTAAAGGGTTGACATTTTGAATTTGTACTTCTATTAAGTACCAATTAGTTAAATCTGTGGTGGACTAATTACACAAAGAGTAATTGTACGCTAAAAAATGTCACGGACTTGCACCGCTATATAAATATTCAATAAAATTACAAAAGAAAACTTTGATCTAAGTCAATTGTTTAAACGTTTTAAAAAGTTTGCAATGAGCACCGAAAATTTGGAATTTGACTTTGGGGCACTTTTTTTACTATTTATTTTGAGAAATGTTGACACTATGAATTTGTAATTTGGGATTATCACGAATTAGCTTGATTTTTTGTGCGTTCGTGTCAATCAAATGTGGGTAAATAACATTAATTTTGGGAGATTTAGATGCATCATGCATGACTTAACTCATGATGGAATCAAGTCAAAATAAAATATTAAAGTAAATCCAAGGAGAATATATATTTAAGTAACTATACGTGCCTCTATTTTCTCTCTTTTGATTATTTTTAGTTCTATTTTTTTTTTTGTCGTTTTATTCATATCCCCAAACAAAAACAAACAACATATTTCTCATAGAAATTACATATTAAAATGATTTTTCCTTCTACCTATGATTACTGCTAATTGCTAATTCAGTATAGCGAGATTACTGCTAATTGCTAATTCAGTAATTACTGGGCCATGCTGAGAGTCCATGCGTCAAGTTTGATGGCTCATACAACTTTATTATTAGCTGTAACAGCTATAGTTAATTGCTATAAGAAGCAATAATATATTTTTTAAGATTTGTGGGCATTATATAAATAATAATACAATGCAACCTTTTCATGGAAAGGATTATATTATACATGCCATCATTTTGCACCACACCATACAAGTGGTCATGATAATTAAATAAAATGAAGCTGTATCTAATATATATAATTATTTGATTTTTTTTAACAATTAAATTCTTGTTGAGATAACATGTAGCATCCTAGTAAATACTTTTGAACGTTTTCATCGTGTGTAGATTATGTTGATTTTGATTGAGAAATGTTGTACAGCCTTATTGGGCTGGATTTAAAACTCATTTACTGGGCTTGAGACTTTTATCCGCTCGCATTTCACCGAATTTCCACTTTCAGCCCATACTCTGGATATACTGAATAACTTCCAAGGATAAAAATGCATTTCCCACCGGTTCCATTAATCTGACATTATTGATCAAATAATCAAATGGATATGTAAAAAAAAAAAAAGAAAGAAAAATATTTAATTTTCGTACTCAATGAAATTGGATATGAAAAAAGTTCAGATTTTGAAATAGATAATTAAGACAATGGTAAAGAAGTGGTGATCCTCCCAGTTTTATTGGTAATGCCTGAACGCAGCGCATTTTAATAATAATAGTAATGGAAAATAAAATAATGACAGCTACAAATTTAAACATGGATGGAGGCATGCAATATATGGTTAAACCTAAGAGCATGAAAATCAGTAAAAGAAACAAGGACAAAGGCTATGTAAGGGTCCATAGCTCAGTGGTAGAGCATTTGACTGCAGATCAAGAGGTCACCGGTTCGAACCCGGTTGGGCCCTTTCTATAGTTTTCTTAACTTTTTTTCAACGTCCTTCCTTTTTCAACCATTTTTTTTTTTTGGAAACATTTACATTTGTTCAGTGTTCTTCTTTCTGTTTGATGTAAACTTAAAAACCCGTGAACATATTTTTCAATGTAGACCATTTGATCTCAGGAAAACAACTTCAAACCCAACACTCACTATAACATAATCTTCAATGTTCTACCATTTGATCTCAATAAAACAATTTCAAAACTTGTTTGAGCCCTACTTCATTTATCTTTTCTTCAACTTCCAGAAGTGTTTCGAAATTGTCAAAAGAGCTCAACTAATTACACCAAACACAATGTATTAATTAGGTTAACAAAAACTCCAAAACACCATGAACATCAAACACTAACACCAAAAAACTTCACTCATCACTCCCAAATTATACTTACAAATCACTCCAATTCCCCACACAAATCCAAAGATAAAAGAAAAAAAAAAAGTCTATTAATAAATTAAAACCATATTCATCATCATCATCATCATCAAAAAACGAACGATCAAACGCATGCCAGACAGTGAACCAAACCATTCTCATTACACTCCCCACACCTCTCCTTGGATCCATCCTCCCCAACAACTCTGCAGCTTCCACTGCACGCCAGGCACGGCACGAACCGGGCCCCACCGCAACCCCCGCAGCCCAATCTCCCGGGCCCCCTCTCCACCCGGGCCCAAGCCAGAATTCGGGCCAAACGGCCCGTCTCATTCAGGTCCACCACCTCCTCCGCTCCACCCAAGTACCGCCCCTTCACAAACACCCTCGGAAGGGACACGTCACTGCCCAGAAGCCCCCGGAGCTCCGCCAGGTAGCCGCCGTCGAGGGCCACGTCCCGCTCGTCGAACGCCACATGGTGGGCCTCCATCACCTGACGCAAACGGATGCAGTCCTCGTGGGTCCGCCGCACGCCGCCCAGGGACGTCGTGTACATCACCACCGAGGCGGCGCCGCCCGGCGGGCATATCTCAGGAAAGTCGGCCAGCGGGTCCCAGCGCGCGGGTCCGCCCGATTTGCCCTCTTTGGCTCGCTCCTCCCTGTCCCTCAGGATGAATATGTTGTCCTTTATGGATTTGGGCGCCGCTTCAGACGAGTTGGGGTTGGTTTTCGACTCGGTACGGGTCGAGTGGAATCGTCTTAACTCGGGCTTCAGGGCCGCGTCGACTCGGTTTCCTGACTCGGGGGTTTTTTGGGGGGAGATTTTGGATTCGAGCTCCTCGAGGGTGTGGAAGGAGAAGCTCTTCCGGGGGGTTCTCCGATTGGCGGAGGGAGAGGCGGCGGGGGCTTTATTCGGGCTGGAATCCGGCGGCGGCGGAGGCGGGAGGGCCGCGGCAGCTTTGAGGTTGGGCTTGAGGTCCTCCAGGGCCTTGCTGACCTCGTTCCACGAGCGGGGTGCGTCTTCAATGGCGTTGAGCTTCTCTAGGATGGGGTTAGGCACGGGGGAGGGCTTGCCGTTGTTTGAGTCGCCGTCGGGGGCGGCGGCGGATTTGAGCCATGGCTCCTCGATGGAGGTGACGTCGAAGACAGCGAAGCTGGAGGGGGGTGGGCGGTAGACGTCGACGACGTCGGCTTCGATTCTCTTGGATGAGGCGCAACCCATTGCAGCTGGAGAATGTGTGCCTAGTGTTTTGGTGAAGAAGATAGAAGAAGAAGATGAGGATTTTGGAGGGAATAAAATAATATTTTATTAATGTTAGTTATCCTGATTATTATTGGTGGAGATTGGAAAGACTTTGTCTGTTTTGTAGGTTTATGAAATTATGGGATTAATTGATGGCCTTGAAATTTGTTTGTGGTGTTTGCTATTGCTAAATGTGTGCACAATTTGGACTTGTAGAGTGAGGACAATAGTCAATAGGCATTAAGTATGTGGATAATGGAAAAACACGTTGCTTCTTGAAGAATTTTTTTTTTTCTTATTTAACTCTTCAAATATATATTGTAATTTGTATTTTAACTTAATTTTTATGTTTTCTTATTCAATACTTAATATTATTTTCACTATATATAAAATAGTATTTATTATATAATTTGATTGGGTCGAGTTGTTCAAGTATTTAATAATAAAACTAAAATCATAATGAAATAACTGAAATTTCAAAATTGAATTCCGATAACCATATTGTCATATAGAAACAACCAAAGTTTATTTCGGTCGATTATTTCGGTTTTAACCAAAATTTAAACACCTTCGGATTATTATTTTTATTCAATGCTTTTTCTTCCATTCTCTCTCTGTTTGTAATCAAAGCTTATTGTGATGCCACATGCAAAATAATGAAATTTCAATAAAAATATATTCAGACGATAATTTCAATGAATTTTCTAAGTTACTCTTTACAAGGGTTTCCAACAAATATATTGTGTTGGAATTAATTTCCCGTTAGAATTCCAATTGAATTTTTATGATTCCAACTACATTTTTTCCTGAAATAATAGTCTGACAAAAAAAAAAATTATATACTCCAAAGAGGCAAGCTAGGGTAACTAACCAGTGCACTTAGCAAGACAAGTAAAGAATTATTAAAGGAGGTAGCACAGGGCAGGTCTTGTCTAAACCATTAAAGAATTGTCATCTATTAAAGGAGGTAGCACAGGACAAGTAATGAATTGTCATCTATTAATACATCATATGGATTTAAAGAATGTAATGTAAGAATATGTGAAGCTATGTCACGGGCCACAGCCTCTTTGGTCTTTGGCTGTCGTTGCTGTATTAAAAATAGAATTCGTGTCATCTTGTGGATGCCATTTTTGCTTTGGCTATTTCATCAGGTCAAAATAGGATAAATTAATAATTATTTGAATTATTGTCAAATTGACATTTTTCCCAAGTGAGGGACCTAACTCCACATGGACATAGGCCATTTTTTATGGCTATTGTAACAAGTAGCTTTGATTTAGGCATTCGAGTTGGCTCGGTTCTTGGTTTGGAGTAGAGAGGTCGATCTGGAAAGTAGCTCGACAAATCGATTCTAAGGTTAGATGGACTATAATATGATATAATTCGTCTAAGGATGATCTGATTATGTTCATATATGGACTATAATATGATATATATATAGTTCGTCTAAGGATGATACAAGATTGCGGAGGATGAAATCCTTTAAGAACATTGTGGAATCTCATCTATATCCCAAGATTTGAATGAGAGAGCGTAACCTATTGTTATAAAATTGACTTAAGCATGGAAGTGTTTACACAAAGAACTATTCTCAAAGCTTTTTGCAAGTCTTCAAAGCCGGTTGATGCCTTGATGGGCAAAAGACCAGTTCGCAAAATCGCAAGGTGTAGAGTGCTATCAAGTTTAAATATCTTTTATTGCCACTTTTAACATTTTGTATTATAACTTAAAAGTCCTGTAAAAATATTGCAATTTCTTCAAAATATTAGAGCATCTCCAATAGTCTTTCAATTAATCTATTTTGTTGCCACGTGGCACAAATAATTCTATGTGACATGAAAAATGTCTAAAAAACTTTCTAGATGTAGAAATCATTTTAACAACTTCTATTATATATTATATTATTTTTTCAATCTATTTCTCTTCTACAATCAATTACAATTTTACACATCACAAATGATACCACAATTAGTATTAACTATTAGACATAATTTTTAATTTCCTTTCTCCATGTCATACTACACCAAGTGGACGTTCCTGCTTAAACCTTATCTGAAATAAAGAGTCCGTGAGCGTGGCAGCTTTGGTAACTTGACTTTATTTCCTTATCTCACCATACATTCTAGGAATAAAATTTTGAAGCCTATAGTCCACCAAATGCAGTCTACTAATTAATAAAAACAACCCAAAATGCATTTTTTGCAATAAATTATATAACCCAAAAGCGGAATAATATCATCACCCCCCTCGCATGAACATCCGTGACTCTTTGACAAATCCTTGCCAACAACTTACCCCATANCGGAATACCCACTCAGCAAAACTCCTTTCGCAAGTTTCGCCGGAAAAGCCGACTCCAAATGGAGAAACTCGACTGTGGAGGTGCTGCCTCCGCCAAGAGACGGCGTTTGGAAAGTGAGATTAGTGATTGATCAAAAGGATTTGAGTTTGATTTTGTCAGAGGATGTGAACACGGAGGCCTTGATCGAGAGGATGAGGTATGCAGCAAACTCGACTCCTGTTAGAGGGAGGAGTTCGAGTTCTTGGGGTCAGACCTTTTCGTATAAATGTGCTCGTTTGAGCGATCAGCCGATGCATATTGGCCGGAACCATTTCTGATGATGGTTTTCCGACCAGTTATGTATGCGGTGGATATTTTGAACTTTGAAGTGGGGTTTTCTTTGAGTTGTTGAAAATTGTGTTTTTCCACAACTTTCTCGGAGGAAAATAAAAGAGTAATAATAATGCTGCAGATTGAGATAATCTACTACTCCACAATTCAGATGTATTGTTTTATATGGGATTATATGATGTGCAAGCACTTGCATATCCATAAAAATAGGAGCTTGGGTTTATATGTTTATATGTACTTTACCCAAAAAAAAAATTCCTTTCCTCTTTTTCCTTAAAATGATTACTAACAAGGAAAAAAGACAAACGTAAAACCGGCTAATTGTCCCATAACTGCTACTGAAGATGTTTGGCAGCACATTTTAGTCTTAATGGGTCTTTAATTTTTATTTTTTTTAATTTAGACACAAAACTCCAAAAAAAAGAAAAAAGCAATAAACAACAAGTGACATGGTTAGAACTGATACTTCTACTTAAAGGGTAGTCAGTAGTGAGACCGTTGAGAACCAAATGTCACATCAAGAAAAATGTAAATTAAAATTGCTTCCATTTGGAAGTTAGGGGGCTGGATTTGAAAATTAATCAATCAAATAAGTGGAAATAATTGATAAGTGTTTTAGTAGGCTATTATCATTTGGAAACACAGATATGATGAATGTATCTTAGCAGAGCTCTCAATTCTCACACTAATCACAATTTTTATCGATCCATTTCGTCATATTTAAGAAATCAACAGTCTCTGAAGAAATATCTAAAAAGAAAACCAAGCAAACAAAGCTGAACAATATACACAATATTGTATTCCATCACTTTCTTGCAAAATGTATGATTCTGGGTCATTAGCAAGGATTTTCACTGGACAATGTGATCTCGTAAAGCATTCATAGAACAACTCACGTGATATATAGAGAAGCACAAAAGATGTGGTTCAATATAAGAATTACTTACATATAAGAAAGCCATGTGCTGGATATAACTGAATGCTTCAGCATTTCCCAATAATATTCATTGGATATAACCTTCTTCAAGTCGAGGCAGACAAACGACCTAATCCAGTTACCTTCATCTTTCAGGTTCTTCTTTCTAGCTGAGAATTTGATTGAACATTTTTATATAAGTGGTAACACACAAGTAATCCTTCGCTCAGAAAAAGAAAAAAACAACAGGATAAGTAGATGATGGCTAGTAGTTCTTTATTACTTGTTTACATCATAAGCATACTGCCAATAATTATGAAAGCGGGCTTGCAGAATAAGTAAAAATAACATGAGAGAGAGAGAGGGATAGAGAGAGAACAGGCACAATGAATCATGCAATAAAAAGGATTACACCAAAATCGTCAAATAATATAACCATTTTAGACGTGTACTCTTCCAATTTCACATTAAGTAAAGCCAAATATCCATAACTTCGCTTCATTTTCAAACACCAAATTCTAAGATAGAAAAAAAAAAGCTCTTCCACTATTCAGCTTTTCTAATGCAACATTAGAAGCTCCATCATTCACAAAGCTAATTATCAAGACTTTCTCTGCCCACAATGCCTTAGACATATTTCTCGAGGTAAAAATCTTGTTAAACTAACAGTGACTAATAAAAGCAACACGAATATATACCTCGATCAAACCCCACCACTCGTTCCCCTCTTTACTTTTCCGGAGACAACCTCGTCCATGCTCTGCCCCGTTCGTCTGTACCTACCACCGGACGCCACATAAGCGGGACAAGGCCGATAAGCCTTAATGGGCCACCAACCAAAGCCCGGGATTGTGGCTATCCCACCTTGAATCCTTCCTTCACCATTACAACCCCTTTCGATATCCTCCCTACCGCAGGCTTTACATCCCCTAAAGAAATTTTGTACAGCGAAAGATTATCACAATTACTGGCTTCCAATTACAATCCTGGCACAGTTTACTGAACCAATTGTGGCACCATCTTGAATTAAGCTTGAACTAAAATGCAATTAACCCAGATTCAATTAGCTGAAATAAATCAGTAGCTAAAGGCAGCTAATCTCATAACCAACAACAGAAGCCAGTTTAAGATACAGATAGATACATAGAGAGAGAGAGAGAGAGAGACTATGGCGTACGCGAGGGGAGGAAGGGAGCCGGAGTCCAGAGGCACCTTATCGTCGGGGAGGGTCCCACTTTGTTCTGATTCTTTTTCGATAACGGCAGTATCAGGCGAAGACATGGCAGGAGAATGAAGATTGCTACTGTGCGCCGGAGGTGGAGAGATATGGGAATGGCTGACGCCGAGAGAGGGATTTGAGCATCTGTGAGAGCAGAGGTGAAAATGCTTTGGTGAAGGGGAGAATTTGTGCGGCGGATGCGGTGATTTTGGGGCGGAGAGGGGGAAGAAACTGGTGGTTCTACAGCTTCCGGTCGCAGCCATCTCTGACTCTCTCTCTCTCCGTCGCCGATGGCGTCGGAAAATCAGTTCGTTGGACTGCAGCCACTAGTTGGGCTTTGGCTATGTTTTTCTATTCTTTTTGCTTTTTTTGCTTTTTGCTTTTTTTCCCCCTAATATTCACAATAGCAATTTAGTACTATATAGTTAAGTCGCGTTCTTAAACAGTTGTACCGAAAATCGCACTTTGCAACACAAACCAAACATTTCTTGCAAATTCTTGTATAAGAGTCGAGAATATCTAACAATTAGATAGGTCGACCCACCATACTTTTATAACAATAATAATTTTACTTATGCTATGAAACATTGTACTTGTATTTATGTTATTCTGTAGAGTGATATGTCAATTTAAAAGTATGTATATATTCTGAAACACAAATTCTTGTGTGAGACAGTCTAACAGTTAGACGGGTCGATCCATCATATATTTATAAAAAATGAACTCATTTTATAAAATGTTACGCATTCGTTTATATGACATTTTAGTTTGAACGTATGCACATCTGAAGAAAAAGTATAGTTGCCTAACAATAGCTTTGATGATTCTAAAAATGTATAATCGTTAGACCTACTTAACGGTAACGCTGTTGATTTTGATAAAAATGTATAATCGTTAGACCTACCTAACAGTAGCGCTGTTGATTTTGATAAAAATGTATAATCGTTAGACCAACCTAACTACTTTACTAATTTTGATAATTGTTAGTGCTATACCTGCCTAACAAAAGCATTATTGTGAAAGGTATAACTATTCAAGTATTTAACCGTTGGACTTGACTAAGAATAAAAGGTATTTCTGGTCAAAACTCAAAATTTATAATCAGTTAACATAAAGGATTGTTCTTCTTTCATTGAAGATCACACCTTTTTTCTTTGGTGTGTGTGTGTGTGTGTTGAGTATCATAGGCAAGCAAACTAGATTAAAATCAAGAATACAAATGGAACCTACTCAAAATGCAAGACATAACCTATACCAGATGTTCTGAGACAAGAGAATGTNTAATTTCTTAAGAGTCACTTCTAACTAAGCCGAAAAAAAACTATACTGCTATCCAAATTTCATCACTAAGATAGAAGAAATCAATGTCATGTGTCTTTCATCCAACTGCAGAAGGTCTAAGCCGAAAAAAAACTATACTGCTATCCAAATTTCATCACTAAGATAGAAGAAATCAATGTCATGTGTCTTTCATCCAACTGCAGAAGGTTAGGGCCCGTATAATCCCACGACCATAATTGGTGAAATATGATGGTGCACAATGTACCACCGGCCTTCGTGAAGCTCGTAAATATTTGTCACGCTATCTGGGCTGCGGTTCATTTCCACATAAGCTTTCATGGTGACCCAAGCCATACCAGAAACGATTCGGGCCCTCACTTCTTGTATTTCCTGATAACGGGCCACGTTCTCCCTCCTGAAGGTCATTTGCCAGCTAGTCATCACTGCATTATAGCTACGGAAAAAAAAAAAATAGAAGTTGAGAATACGTTAAGTCCCATCTTTGTTCTCACACACTGAATTCAATGGTGATTTAAGTAGTAATTAGAAGAAGTACAACTAATCCACTTGAAATTCGTATTTGCCTCAAGAAATATATCTAAAATGTAATTGTAAGCCTGCTTTTTAGCAGACATTAGCTTATATCTGGAAGAGTCTCTGTTTCAAATTCTTTATTAAAAGATTTCCACTTTCAATAAGGAAAACTTTACTGCATTATTGAATTTGAGTTTTAATGCAGCAATAGAATGCTACAAACCCGCTAAACGACTCGCGATTTGCATGAAAGCACTTGACGTAATTTGAGTTGAGCCAAAGCTGGGCCATAGCTGGGAGGGATCTTTCTCTCCAAATCCTGAAAAACTCGTCGTTAATATTGACAATGGCTCTTGTAGCTGCATAATAAGCTTTCCATCCATCAGGTGGCACTAAGCTATCTTGCTCCAAGGAGAAATCCTGTGGATTTAGACAAAAAGGCAACACAACACAATCAGGCCTACTTACTATTTCAAACATATCTGAAATGACTGGACCAAATAACCCAACTTATAGCATGATCAGGGAAAAAAAGAAATAAGAAGCAATTATAGTATAAAGAGAAATTCAGAAGATGGCAACCGTGATCATCTGCAAGAGGACTAGGGTTTGGCACAAATAATAATCATTAGACAATTAAGAATTAGTAGCTACATGATGGAACTTTCAATCTCCTTTTTATTCTTGAGAATGCACTGTAAAAAGTAAGAATCTACAACACGAAAAAATAATCATATAACTCTGTTTAAGCAGAGCTAACGAGGCCATATGTATCCAAACACTAAAACTGATAAACAAATATAAAAATTGAAATCTATATGTCGTACATAAAATATAAAACAAAAGAATAAGGATTCCTATAGCTGAGGCTGTAGTATATTCTAATTAATCTCGCACACACACACACACAAATAGTCAAGGTAAACTGTACATAGCATTTTTGAGATAGAGTTTTATTTTACTTTTTTGGAGAGTTCAGTTGGAAGTAAACAGAAATCACTCCTACTTTCAGCCTCCATGATCAAACTAAATCAAGTCAATCTCTATCATATACTACCAGTCAAAACTATATTAAAATTCTAACCATGAGGCTTGGTGGTTTCATCAGAAATATCGTAACAGTTACTAACTAAGCCAACTCTTATATAAGATAGAGGGGATATAAAAATAAGCCTGCATATATAGGCAACAGTGGGAACCTAAATAAAATATATTCAATGGTTTCTTGCACTCTAATCATCAGATTACAAGATTTTATACCTATTATCATTCTATTGTTTCCACAAATAGTAAGAAAACTTCAACTTACGGAAAAACCGGAAATCTTTATTTGTATGAGGGCATGATTTTAAAGACTATTAACCGGAAATCTTTATCAGAAGAGAATGTCAATTGCACTAATGACAAGCTAATCACTATATTAGTAAAGATAAGGATGCATAAGCGCATCTCATATCTTTCACACGCACCACCTGTTACAAGTGTGCACCACGTGTGATTTCCATTATCAGTAGCCATTAAAATGTGATAGCCTAAAATCAGATCAAAGGCCTATTGAGCTAAGGCACTGATTTCTATAATCACAAACATCACCACCCATTGCCGATCTTCTTTTGTTTCCTTTTTTTCTGTTTTCCCAACCACTGCAATTAATACCACACTCCACTTTTCAACAAGCAAAATTATAACGTATCTAGGAATTCATTTATATTTTTCTAGACAGGTCCAGAACAAGTGTATTCCCTGCACAACTCCACAAACAGATCAAGACCGAGCTGAATCATAAACAAGAACCCTAATCGAACTGAATCATAAGCAAGAACCCTAATCTCACACCCCTCATCCTTCAACTTGTCACATGACACATTTAAAAAACAGAATTAACAATCCCACATTATAAGCAAAAGATCCACCCGAAACCAAACCAGAACACAACCCCAAAATGTCAAAATTCATCTGGAGAAAAAGAAAAAAAATAACCATACCTTACGATACAGGGCCTTCCAAGCATTGTCATCATTTGCAACTTTTCTCATAAGCGAGTTGGTCATGGAGAGACGGCACAGGCTCGGGTAATCCAAATAACTCAGGGCATGCATAGTTATCTCCGGCACCAGCTGCTCCATCATCGAAGCCCCCGTCAGCTTCTCCACACGCGCCGCCAACTTCTCGCCGCCGCCGTTTTCGCACCGGGGGATCAGCTTCGCCATCTCAAAAGGTCCCGCTCGCAATTTCGATTTCCGGAAAATTAGGAAAATCGAGAGGACGCAGGCAAGTGCCGCGGCTAGGGCTACCAAAATGGACAAGAAATCGCCGGGGAAGGAAATGCTAGAAAAATGGGGGAAAGGTTTGAAACAGAAAAGGATAAAAACCCCCCACAAGAAAAAACGAATCTTTTCAAACAATTGAA